AGATTTTTCTTCAAAATGTACTGCTACTTAAATATTATGTACGTATCCATTTTTTGTCCATCTTTCCCACTAGAATGTACCAGAAACCCCACAAGACAGGGCCTTTCACTTGTTCACTGTTGTATCTCCAGTAAGAAATTGCTGAATGGTGACCCACAGAACAACTCTAAATGCAAAAGAGAACACAGGAAATTGTTTTCAGAGTGGGGAACTTGGTGAACTCACACTCCAACAAAAACAATGAAAATAATGCAAAAAAACCCAACCAAAATAAACATTTTTGGAACTCTGAAATTTAAGCAAAGCCACAAAATGAACTGAAAATTGTCGATCCAATAGAAACTACTGAACCTTGGTGAGAAAGTAGGATTTGCGACATTTTAATGTGGGGCTTTCCCATTCCCCTTCCCTCGCCAGCTCATCGGCACAGTTGTTAAAAGCTAGCAGGCTTGCAGCCAGTGGAGAGGTCTGACCTCTTCTGGAGTGCCATTAAAAACATCACCCATCCAATATTTTTTCAGACCTTGCATCTCCCTGGAAAATCTATTCATAAGGTGTTGCTGCTATTTGATTTGAATCAGGGCTCAGCTCAGCTAGGGGAGAGGAGAGACTGAAAGTCCCACCCAGAGCATTACCGAAAACAATAGCAAACTCCTGGCAATGTCCCAGCTGCCTAAGGCTGTGATTTCAACTGGGGCAAACAATAACTAGAGGGGAATTTGAAAGGAAATCTTAAGCCTTAGATGACCACAGGAAACTCTGAGAAGTTCCAACGTGTTCCTGGGAATGTAAAAGGGAGGGTTGTCCACATGCCCAGGAAAGCCCTGAGAAAGGAGAAGGCCCAATCATTCAGATCTGCCTAAACTTGAGGTCCTGTGAAAGCGGGAAGTGCAAGCTAAGGTTGTCGTGTAAACTACCTCAAGTTTGAAGGCCTGCCTTCTCACACAGATCTCCTTGGCAGAGAGTGGAGAAATACAGTAAGGCATTTAAAGAAATCTTCTGACCAATCATTGGCTTACCACCAAATTATACTGACCCAGGAGTAACCCCTAGGAAGCCAAACTTAAAAATAAAAACAAGAACTTAAAAAAAGAAAGCTATTGGAGAGCTCAGTGGCTGTACACTACAGAGAATAGAGTCTAGAGAATTAGTCAAGGAAAATTGCTAAATTAAAAAGCAGCAACAAGAAAAACAAACAAAAAACAAATCCCAGAAACAACAACAAACTCAGTGAGAGAGAAATAAGACACTAGATTTGGGTGGGTGAAATGGGTGAGGGGGTCAACTGTATAGTGATGGATGGTAACCAGACTTTTGGTGATCACTTTGTAGTGTATACAGATGTTGAATTATAATGTACACCTGAAACTTACATAATGTTATATACCAATTTTACCTTGATTAAAAAAAAAGATACCAGACTTGTGACAATATATTATCTAAAATCTCCACTTTTTGACAAAAAATTATGAGATATACAAAGAAACAGGAAAGATGTCACATACACAGAAAAAAAAAAAGCAGCTAACAGACAATGTATCTGAGGGGGCCCAGTTTATGGATTCAATAGACAAAGACTTTAAATAAGCTACTATAAATATGCCTTTAGTTCAAAGAACTAAAGGAAGTCATATCTAAAGAATTAACGGAAAGTATAAGAATCTCAAAAAAGTGGCAGAAATTATAAAAGACAGGGCCAGCCCCAGTGGCTTAGTGGTTAAGTTCAGTGTGCTCTGCTTTGGTGGCCTGGATTTGGTTCCCCGGCGTGGACCTACACCGCTTGTCTGTTAGTGGCCATGTTGTGGCAGCAGCTCACATACAGAAAGAGGAGGACTGGCAATAGATGTTAGCTCAGGGTGAATCTTCCTCAACAAAAAACAAAAAGAAAAACAACCAAACAGAAATTTGAGTTGAAAAGTACAGTAACTAAAACAAAAAATTCAACAGCAGACCTCTGCAACAGATTTGAACTGGCAGAAGAAAGGATCAGCAAACATGAAGACAGGTAAACAGACAGACTATTTCAGTCTGTGGTACAGAAAGAAAAAGGAATAAAAAATAAAATAGAGCCTCAGAGACCTGAGGGATATTATAAAGCATAGAAATATATGCATAAAGGGAGTCCCTGAATGAGAACAAGAAAGGGGTAGAAAAACATTTGAAGAAATAATGTCCCCAAACTCCCCATATTTGATGAAAAACATTACACATCTAAGAAGCTCAATGAACTCCAAGTGGAATAAACTTGCTACAAACTTGGAATAAACTTGATCCAAACCTAGACACACCACAGTCAACTCATAAAAGTCAAAGATAAAATCTTAAAAGCATCAAGAGAAGCAATTCATCACATACAAAGGATCCTCAATAAGACTGGCAGCAAAACCATGGAGAATAGAAGAAAGTAGAATAACATATTTGAAAAAAAAAGGGACTGTAAATCAAGAATTCTATGTTAAAACTATCCTTCATAAAAACAAGAAAAATTAAGATATTCCCAGATTATTTTTAAAACAAAAGGAATTTATCACTAGCAGATCTGCCCTATAAGAAATACTAAAGGGAGCTGTTTAGGCTGAAATGAAAGGACAGAAGACACCTTGAATTCACACAAAGAAATAAAGAGCATCAGTAAAGGTAACTACATAGGCAAATATAAGACGATATAAAAGTATTTTTGCTTCTTCTATCTGACTTAAAAGACAACTACATAAAGCAACAATTATAAAGATGTGTTGATGGTGTGTTAGTTTCCCATTTCTTATATAACAAATCACCATAAATGTAGCAGCTTAAAACAACTGAAACTTATTACCTTGCATGTGGTTCTGGAGGTCAGAAGTCTGACATGGGTCTCGACAGGCTAAAACGAATGTGTTGGCAGCCAGGCTGTACTCCTTTCTTGAGGCTCTAGGGAAGAATCTGTTTCCTTGCCTTTTCCAACTCCTGGAGACTGCCCACACTCCTTAGCTCATCACGGTCCCCTTCCTCCATCTTCAAAAGCAGCACACTGCATCCCTCTGTACATTTCTTCTGTCGTCACACCTCTAACTCTTTCAAGGACCCTTGTGATTACATTGAACCCATGTGAATAATCTAGGATAATCTCCCTAATTTAAGGCCAGCTGATCTGCAACCTTAATTGCTCTTTGCCACGTAAGGGCAACAGTTTCCAGGGATTGGGATGTGGATATTTTTGAGGGAGTCATTATCCTGCCCACCCATATTGGCTTATACTGTTATAAGGTGTATTTGTATGACAGTAATAGTATAAAGAAGGGAGGAGGGAACAGGGGTATACTGGGGCACAATTTTTTAATAAGATTAAAGTTAAGTTAGTATTAATCCAAACTAAATTGTTTTAAGATGCTAATTGTAATTTCCAGGGCAACTGCTGAGAAAATAACTCTAAAAACTATAGTAAAAGAAACAATAAGAAACCTAAAATGGGACTCTAGAAAATATCTCTTTAATATAAATATAGTAATGGAAGAATAGAAGTACAAAAGGAAAATAACACACGCAGAAAACAAATACCACAATGCCAGACACAAATCCTACCCTAGCAGTAGTTACATTAAATGTAAACATATTAAACACCCAAACAAATGGCAGAAATAGGCAGGATGTATTAAAAAAACATGATCCAAGTATGTGCTGTCTACAAGAGACACACTAAATTCAAGGACACAAAAAGGTTGACAGAGAAGGATAAAAAAAGATATACCCTGCAAAGAGTAATCAAAAGTGAGCTTCAATAACTATACTCTTGTCAGACAAAATAGAGGTTAGGAAAAAAATTTTAACTAGAGACAAAGAAGGACGATTTTATAATGATAAGAGGGTTAATCTATCAGAAATTATATTATAAGCATATATGCACATAATAATAAAGCCCTCAAATACATGAAGCAAAAACTAATAGAATTGAAGGGAAAAATAGACAATTCAACAAACTGGAGACTTCAATGCTCTACTTTCAATAATGGATAGATCAACCAGCCAGAAGATCAACAAGGTGACAGAAAACAACATACTGTTAAATAACCAATGCGTCAAAGAAGAAATCACAAGAGAAATTGGAAAATACCTCTGAGTTGGATGAAAGGAAAACTAAACATACCAAAACTTAACAAAATATAGTTAAAACAGATCTTAAAGGGAAATTTACAGCTTAAAATGCCTATATAAAAAAAAAAAGATCTCAAATCAATTATCTAATTATACACCTTAAGGAACTAGATAAAAAAGAGCAAACTAAACCCAAAGATACCAGAAGGAAGGAAATAATAAAGATTAGAGGAGAAAAGAACAAAGTAGAAAAAGAAAAAAAGAGAAAAATCAAGTGTAACTGTAAGTTGCTTCTTTGAAAAGATCAACAAAACTGACAAACCTTTAGCTAGATTAACCAAAAAAAAGGGGAGAAGACTCACACTAATATCAAGAATGAAAGCGGATATTACTACCAACCTTACAGAAATAAAAAGCATGATAAGCAAATTAGCGGTTGCCTAGGGCTGGGTGTGGGGAGTGACTGCTAATGGGCATGGGGTTTCATTTTGGGGTGATGAAAATGTTCTAAAATTAGATTGTTGTCACAGGTGCAAAACTCTATATACTAAATATACTAAATATACTAAAACCACAGAACTGTACACTTTAAATGAGTGAATTTGATGAAATGTGAATTATAACTCAATGGAGCTGTTTTTAAAAGTCTGGACAAAACTGGATCCAAAGTGCAGGGAAAATGGTTGTCTCGTGGGAAAGAGGAAGCCACTTCCTTAGTGAAATCAGAGGGGAATGTGAGGAAGGGCAGCAAAAGAATGCTACATGGAGTAAAAATTTGAGGCCTCATGCTGAGACATCCTTACTTTCTTCTCCAGATATCAGGGTTTTGGGGGTGCTTTCTTACCAACATCTCGGAAGTGCTGCCTTCTCACAGGCCAACTGGGTGACCAGCTGCCATGGCTTTCCCCTTACAAGTTACCATCACTCACCTGGGCACCATTCTCTTGTCTCTTTCCTCTTAACCATCCACGGCTCCTTCTTCTGCTCCAGTAAGGAGATCACATCTGGCTTAGAATCAGAAAGTCCTGATCAAGAAAAAAAAAAATGGGACAAAGTTATATTGTGGGTGTCCCGAAATTAAAACCAGTCCATGATGATCAAGAAAGAGGAATTAGTAGATTAAGGGTCTGAGGAAGGGGTAAAGGTCGGAGGAACAAAGATAAAATCGTCCAACAGAGCAGCCAATTTCTAACTTCACAAGGGACAAACCATTCTTTGGTAAGCAAGAATCATTAATTCAGCCAGGCACTTGAAAAACACTCACAAGAAATTCATAACAAAGAACATAAAAATTCCAGGCGGCCAATTCGGAATTTCGCGGGGCAGATAAACTTACCCAGTGAGATCAGGTTGTTATAATTCTCCAACATTACATCCTGGTACAAATCCTTCTGAGTAGAGTGCAAGCATTCCCACTCCTTTTGAGAGAAGTAAATCGCCACATCTTTGAACTTCAAGCCCTGGAACCATAGATAAATATACTATTTGTGAAATTAATGGGCAAAATCTTGAAACTGGAACAAAAGAAAAAGAAGAAATTCAGTAGGGGAACACCACTGGGAAAACAGGCTGTGCTGGACCCTTCAACACAGATGGTCAGTGTGGAAACAAGAGTGATCAGAGCACACATCATTCTTGGTGCACACATCAGTCTTAAACATGCAACTATAGATGTAACCCGTTGGCATTATCCTCTTCCATTATTTACCCAGGTGGGGGAATAAACAAAGTCCAGATAATTGGTGTTTCCTAATTAAATGAAATTGTACCCGCAAGTACACAGCACACTCTATTGTTCATCACACAACACTTGTAACCATCTCCTGACCATTCTCCCAAAAAAGAAATGTTTGAAAAGCTTGATTCAAAAATAACATAAAATTTCAATTTCTGAGAAATAGGATTTGAATATAACTTAGTGATTTAATCATTTCTTAAAAACTCAGGCTCATAAATATGCCAGAATATTAAATCCTAATCACTTTTCCATGTCACCACAAATTCTAAAACAGACATCATTTTCACTGGCTGTATTCTTATGGACTCGATGTTCTTATTTTGGGACACTAGTTTGGACAAGTTCTCTAAAGTTCTTTTGCAATTGTGAGAGTTATTACTTGTCAACAATGTATACACCTGGCTATATTATTCCTGTTACCATAAATTGTCTCTAACTATATTCTCCTTGTTCCTAAGCTACCAAAACTGATGGAGGAAGATCCAGGCTCACATCCATGTGACCCAAGATGAGCATACACTATGCAAGTTCAAAATGGACCCACTTATTGGTGTCTTCCTGGCACAGTCTCCTTGTAATATCACATAATTCCATACACTCAGTCTATCACATCCCTATCATGTCCCCAATTCTAAAAATCTCAGAGAACTGGAGATATGGGCAAATACTGAGACTGCAACAAATTAACATCAATTACCTTCTTGTCTAATTGGAAAATCCAAGTTTGTAACATGGGATCCCACTTAACCACTCATCTCCACTTCATCAAATCGCAGCTCTAACAAGGGAGGTATCAAATTTCCAGCAAGGGCTGGTTTCCCCACTCCAGCAACACTCCTGGTGGAAGGATATGCACTTAAGGAATGCTAAGTGGTTTGCTGAATGAATACCTAAATACCTGTTGGAGAACAGAGGGACACATGGGACAGCAGCCTTTGGTGGCCTCACTCATTGGAATGAGAAGAGCTGGGGAACAAGTTCCTTGGAGGGCCTCAGGGAAGAAGGAAGTTTCAGGAAAAAGAAACCCACTGTTCAAATTTTCCAAAATAAACAATGCATTCAATGAAGGAGAGGATAATGATATGGCTTTTAGGGTTGCAAACACAGATCACTTACATCCTGGGTTCATCTTGGAGAAAGGCAGAGCTGGAGGAGGCAGAGGAGGAAGAAGCAAAAGCAGCCCTGAGACACTGGACTGACCTCGGGGCCCTAAAGGACTGAGAATGAATCTTCCTCCCCGCCCCTGTTCCACTCTGCCTGTTTGGGCACCCCCCCAACCCCCCCACCACGACCCCCCATACACACACAGTCTCTCTTGATTTGAGGGAAAATAACAAACCTTTACCTTCCTGGAACTCCAGGGAATCCAACCGTGTATAACGTATTCAGAAGAAACAACCTTTCCACCATCAGGAGCTGATCTGGGCCCACAAGGGCCTGCTCTGACCTGTGCCTGGCAGACCCTTGTTCCACAATCTGGAAGACAATGAACTCCTCAGCCACGGAGGCATCCCAAAGACATGACGGAGCCCTCAGGCCCAGGAACACAGGACACTGGGGCAGGCCCAGCCCCGAATGACGGTTTCTGCAACAGGTCTCCAGCCTCTGCCAGGCCTCACAGACTCAGTGCATCAGATGTCTCCTTGGCTTTGTTCCCAGATCCCAGGACTAGGGCCCTCAGAACCCAGACTGAAACCTCCTTCCACAGAGACCCTGTTCAAAAGCACCAATACTGAGCCAGACAACCCACAGGGATCAGCAGGTCCTGAGCAGCCTCAGCAGAGCTCAACCAGGAGGCGGGTTGCAACCGCTTTACATGAAATCACAGTTCTCAGAACCCTCGTGGCCAGCACATCGTGGTTCCCAACCAAGATCACCCATGGCTTTCCTGCCTGACATTATTCCCTCTCACCCCTACCCCCGGCCTCACAGCTGAGAGGCAGTGTTCACTGCCTCTCAAGTACAATCATTGTGCATTAAGCACTTTAAGTTTCTGGTGCCTTATATGCATTAATCCTCAGGAAAGGCCCATGTTTCAAAGGAAACTTTAGCTTACAGAAGCGAATCACTGACACAAATTTGCAGTTGGCAGAGGCACTGCAGGGCTCTGAGTCTAGATTTCTCCACCTCTATAGTTGACTGCCTTCCATTTCTGGCTCTTGCAGCTGCAGCCGGGGATTTCCTGATTCTTTAAAAGAACTCTGAGCTGGGCTCTGCACTTCAGGGAGCAGAAAATGTTCAGTCTGCTCTGTTTGTTGCTGCGAGCACAGCACTCTACGAGGGGAAATCAAAGGTTGAAGGAAAAGGGAGGAAAGAAGCGACAAACAAACAAAATTCCTTTATTCAAAAATATCCATCAAAATCCTCCATGAGTCTGACTCTGTGTGGGCACTGGGGACAGGATGACTCTGACCCAGAACCTGCCCTCAAAAAGCTCAGTATCAGGGAGGAAAAAGAAAAAAGTAGAGACAATCACAAGACATCATGCTCTGTGGCGGACTGGTTACCACAACTAAATCACCAGCCGAAAAATAATGCACTGAATATTAAAAACATTTTGGAATGCAATGATGAGCTGACAAGCATGCAATCTTCAATAGCTAAAACTAACTCAAAATGGGAACTAGAGAGATGTGCTGAGCCACCGGCGTTTATTTTACCAGAAAACCTGCTGAGCCGGGCTAACCATGAACTTTGACATTCACAACCTTAAAGAGCAGGGAGAGAGACCCAGCCGACAGCTGGTCAAGATGGGAGTGTAACTGGTTCTGCACTGCAAAGACCTGGGACCTCCAGGACCACGCTCTCAGAACAAGGGGAAAAGCAGCAGTAGCACTCCCACCCTGGGGGGCTGCAAGGAAAACGGCCTGACTTGAACCCTATCGGTCGGTGGAAGGAAAGTTCTCCCCTGAGGAACAGTAACAAGTCAGCGCTTCCACAGGTCTGCAGCTCACATTCACATTACTCAGGCGAATCTAAAAACTGGCCGTCTCTTACAGCGGTTCTGGTTCAGCCGTGCTCTTGGCAGAAGCAAACACAGACTTGCCCTAGAGGGACAATCTTCAGCCAGGCCTCAAGAGTCCAGGGGTAGAATTCCAAAGAAAACGACCCAAAAGTCAAAAATAATAACAGTACAACATTGTAAACGCACTAAATGCCACCGAACTGCACACTATAAAATGGCTAATTGTATGTTATGTGAATTTCGCCTAAATAAAAAATTAAATAAAAGTGAAACATGCAAAGGGGCATAATTCCATGATCAAAAAGTCAGGAAAATCTGGGGCTGGCCCCATGGCCGAGTGGTTAAGTTCGCGCGCTCCGCTGCAGGCGGCCCAGTGTTTCGGTGGTTCGAATCCTGGGCGTGGACATGGCACTGCTCATCAAACCACGCTGAGGCAGCGTCCCACATGCCACAACTGGAAGGACCCACAACGAAGAATAAACAACTATGTACCGGGGGGTCTTTGGGGAGAAAAAGGAAAAAATAAATAAATAAATAAATAAAATCTTTAAAAAAAAAAAAAAGGAAAATCAGTCATGCGATTGTTTCAACTTTTCACTATATTCGAAAATTTCATTAATAAAACCTTAGGGGGAAAATAACACACCTGCAAAGATTCACATATTATATAGATAATACTAAAGAATATAAAACAAGTATATTACATCTTTTTTAAAAAGGAGGTAAGATGGTAAAAAACAAAACTCCACAAAAATGACAGGTAGATATAAAAGAAAAAAAATTAAAACTTCTGGAACAAAAAACATAATACTTAAGGGGTTGGCTCTGTCACATAGTGGTTGGGTTTGCACACTCCACTTCAGCGGCCTGGGGTTCACATGTAGGTTTGGATCCCCGGTGTGGACCTGCACACCACTTGTCAAACCACGCTGTGGTGGCATCCCACATAAAATAGAGGAGGACTAGCACAGATGTTGGCTCAGCAACAATCTTCCTCAAGCAAAAAGAGGAGGACTGGCAACAGATGTTAGCTCAGGGCCAATCTTCCTCCCCAAAAAACAAAAAAACCAAAACCAAACAAACAAAATAATATTTAAAATTAAATCATACAATAACTGGAATAAATATCTCTGAAGAGAAAAATTACTGGAGTGGAAGATATAAAAAATGATTATGCAGAATGCTATCAAGAAACATAATATGGGAAAGTATAAGAGAGGTTAAGAAGATAAAATGAGACTGTTTCACAGATATCTAACGAGTTCTGGAACAAAAAAAGAGAAAGAACTGAGAAAAAGCTGTAACTGAAGACATAATGGCTAAGAAATTTTCAGAAGTGGCAAAGGAAAGCATTATTCAAAAGCCCAGTGAGTCTCAAACAGAATAAATAAAAAGAAATCCTACATCACTACAGAGCATTAAAAAGAAAAAGAAGGGGCCAGCCCAGTGGCCGAGTGGTTAAGTTCGTGTGCTCTGCTTCGGTGGCCCAGGGTTTTGGCGGTTCGGATCCTGGGTGCAGACATGGCACCACTCATTAGCCCATGTTGAGGTGGTATCCCACATAGCACAACTAGAAGGACCCACAACTAAAAAATATACAACTATGTACTGGGGGGGATTTGGGGAGAAGAAGCAAAAAACAAAACAACAAAATGATGTAGACAGATTGTCTACAAAAGAACAACAGTCTGATTGACAAATGACTATTCAACAGCAACAATGTAAACCAGAAGACAGCAGAATAGCTCAGTCTGCTG